CCGTTCCGGATAGCCTAGATAAAACAAGGCTGCAAGGAATATACCATCCACCAGTAAATATTTTCCATTCACTTGTTGTATATCCTACACAATGTATTTGTGAAAACTAGTTTTGACAAAGTATTTCATTTAAAGCGGGGGTATGCCCCAATATTTTATTTCTTGTTCTTGAGCCGTTTACATGCTACTTTTTGAAAAAAACATTGTGTGTTTTGTTCCATCAGCATTTTTGCTGCTTCAGGTCACAAATCATAAATTAAGTACAGTAATAACAATAGTAATAATGACTTGGCATGAGAATCATATGTTAAAACCAATTTTCTTTCTTCAAATGAATAAGAAACTTGCCTTCAAAAGCGGAGGTATCTTTTGCGAAAACTTTACGCTCCGACGGGCAGAAGTGTCTCCTGTTGCTATCTCTTCCTTCCTCGCATTCGCCGAGTCGTTCTGCGACCGCCACAATATGTAAAATCCATCCCGCGCAGTTCTCGTGCGAAAAACGATCCTCCGTTCGTCCCAAAGGCTTCCAACCCGCGCGCAGGCCTTATGGCCCTCCGCCCGGCCCGCCTGCCTGCGCCGAAAGGGCCGCGGCCTACCGCCACCCAGCGCGCCTTCTGCGTAAATTTGTTTTGTCGGCGCAGTTGGGCGGTGGCGGCGGGTGGCAGTGGACAAGCGGTCGCGGCTCGGCGGCGGGGGTGGCGTTAGCGAGGGTGGCAAGGGGGCGCGCGGGGCGCGTCGCCTGCGGCGGCGGGGCGGCTGGGGGGGCAGGGGGCGGGGCCGGCGGGCGGCGGGGGGCGCGGGGGCTGGCGGGGGCGGCGGGGGCGGCGCGGGGGCGGCGGGGGCGGCGGGGGCGGCAGGGGCGCGGGGGGTCGGCGGGGCGGCGGGGGGGCGGCGGGGGGCGGCGGGCGGCGGCGCGGGGGCGCGGGGGCGGCGGGGGCGGCCGGGCGGCGGGCGGGGGGCGGCGGGGGGCGGGCGGGGGCGGCGGGGGCGGCGGCGGGCGCGGCGCGGGGCGCGGGGGCAAGGCGGCGGGGCGGCAGCAAGGGCGGCGGGCGGGGCCGGGGCGGGGGCGGAAGGCGGGGCGCGGGGGCGGCGGGGCGGCAGGGGCGGCGGGGGCGGCGGAGGCGGCGGGGGCCGGCAGGCGCCCAAGGGCGCGGGGGCGGCGGGGCGGCGGTGGGCGGGGGGGCGGCGGGGGCGGCAGTAGGACGAGTGACGCCCGGCGAGGGCTGCGCGGCCGCAGGGAGGCCTCGCGATATTCAAATGAGATGACGGCGTGCGAGGCGAACCCTCGGGAGGCGCTCGGGTGAGGACGAGGGGCGCTGGGAGACGGGAGGACGCGGATTTGGAAGGCTCAGAGAAACGCTCCGAGTGTGGTGTGAGAAAGGAGGGTAGCAGAAATAAAAGTCGGAGAAGAAGTAAGCCGGAAGTGGGACGAATCGAGGTTAAAAGGAAATGGGATGTTGCTCGATGCAGAGAGAATGTAGGGAGGGATTGTGATGGGAAGGGGCGGGAGGTACTAGCAGAGACAGGATGGTGGTGTGAGTTAAAGAATGGAAGGAAACAGGGATTCGGAATAATGAAAACAATACGCAAGTACGATGGATAATGGCATAAGTTGAATATACATTTAGACAAAACTGATTGAGTACATAAAGCGATGATAGCAACTAGGAACGAATGAAAATAGAAATTATGTGAATAGGGTTAGGTACACACTGAATAATACCGTGTTGAGCATGGAGGAGCGTTAAAGAAGGAGGCCACAGGGACGAGCGTGAGGCGACAGTAAAATGATACAAAACAAATCGGGAATTGAGACGTAAAATTGAATTAACGACTGAGAGTGTGAGAACGGCAGTTTGACGTGGGAATGAGACGGATGGAAAACAATAGAGAACATTTTGAAGAAATATTGGAGAGATGTGGCGGGAATAGCGCAAAATCTAAGCGGTGAGCAGAACGAGAATATGAGGGCAAGGTGGGTGCAGGAAGGAACCAAAATGAAAGAGCGGTGATAGTGGAGAGGATGTGGGGGTCAATGTCCAATGATTTTTCGTCCAGCTTCCTTAATCCTTTGAGCGAATGCCGAGATGGCCCTCGTTTTGCTACTGAACTCGAATGTAACTTAACTATGTATGCACGTCTTCTGGAGTTCATTGGGATATATGATTATTCAAATTATTATTCATGTTGTCGTGCCAGGACGTATATTCTTTCACGAAGGACATGATGAGACATAAGAGCCCAAATGTTTTGCTTATCTCCTTTAATATAGATTTTATTACATTGGAAGGGATAATTCTTATCATTTTTTGCTAGAAAGGGTCATTTCTCTCTGTACGCAGAATTCAACTTGTATATGCCTTAGAGGTGCTGGAGTTAAGAAAACGTGCCGAGAATACACTTATCTGCGAAGCACGTCACGAAGACTTTGTAATTGTTTTTGCCGAAAATAAATGAATAAAACGTGTGAGGGATAGTCATCGGAAAGGCAAAATAGATCGCTACAGCATTAGGAAAGGTAGGTGAGATTGAAACTTAACCTGGGGTGTCTAGATTAGAACGGATGTGGGGAAACGAGAGATGGGAAGGGGATGATGAAATGCTGGGCTGGCGGGGATGGTGAGGGAAGCGGACGGATGCGAAACAGCACTGAGGTGTGGCATCCGGTACAGTTTGCAGATGGAAGCAAAGGGGGAGTGACGCTGGATGCAAGAATTTTTTTCTGAGAAACAGCAAATGCATGTGCATAAATTGAACACGTGTGCAAAGCACGTCTTTAATTAAGTAGGAAGCATTCAGTTGCGACTGTAAACGTCAGTAAGCATACCTATAATTTTGTGCAACCTTTAACACTTTGCACTGACTGAACTGAAAGATGGTTATGTTAATCATTGAGGTCGAAATCTAGAGCCTCGTCGTCGACGTGGAGAGCCAGCGTAGCGTGTCAAATTGGCTCTATCAGATTGATATTACGCAAATTGGTGTTTGAGCTACTAAGATAACTTAACCCATTTATCATTACATGTACTATTTCTTGAATAACAACGCCGGGATACAATCGTAGCAAAGGGCATCAGTTGGTGTCACTGCACTTTCTGTGACAGGGAAGTTCTAGCGTTCCACTCCCGACGGGGCCAGAATTTTCGATAGAGGCTATACAGCTACGTCGATCACAGCCACTGTTTGGAAGAAACTTCTAGCGACCGGCTGCTCTGATCGGCACTTTTCCGTGGTTTCTTTGACCAACACTAGGCGAATGCCGAATCAGTACCCAATCAAACGGGAAACTGATAGCGCGCGATATCACCTTCCTCATCCTCGTCCGATCTTCCCTACTTACTTACTACCACACTTACCCGCACAACATTATCACGCACCAATGTCCTCCACCCCCACAACCACACATGCGGGAGCTCAGTGCTTTCCCTCCCCCGCGGCGGCGTCCCGCTAGTGGGAGACACCTGGTTGAGGGAAGTCTGGAAGCCGAAGTGCAGGTCGACGACGAATATCGCTATCCAGTGGGGGAAAATCACCGCCATTACCCGCGATACATATATGAGGTACAATAACGGCAATAATGACCTATGTAGTTGACGTGCCCGGAAACGGTTATGACTGAATCATTGAAGTGTATTTACGCTAAATAGTGCATTTTATTGCGTCATTTCTCCAATTGCTTCAGTTGTTTGTCAAAAAAATACCTAAGAGACGAAGTGAAACGAAGGAAGAGCGGCAAAGAATAGGTGGGGAAAATGCTGGGAGTTACAGTGAGGTGGGAGAGAAGCAGATTAGTGAAGAGGAAAGAGTAGGGGAACGTGGGAGCAAGAAGATGGATACCGATCGTGGGCAAAATGTGGTCGGGTAGGAAGCAGAGAAGTATATAGGTGGGGTAGAATAACCCTGAGTGAGAGTGAGAAGGGGGCGCATCGTGAGCACGGCGTGGTGGGGCGGCCATCTGGAATAGGAGGAAGTGCGAGGGTGGCGGATGCAAATCGCGAGCGAGGCTCGGCGGGAGGGGAGCAGAGAGCCGTCAGCGACAAATATAGGCGCTGACTCCGCCGAACAGCGATTTAGAGGCCGCTTCGCTTTTCCTTTGCGAAGGTCTCGACTGCTCTCACGAAGAGATTCTTTGAGGGATTCAAAGGCTGGTCACTTCGTTGAGGATATTTCAATTGCGATATCGTAGAGATGTATCCTGTTCCATGCTTTGAAGCAACACGAAGAGAGCATCAGGAGTGTTTTATCTTAGGAGTTGTGGATATTCTGAGAGAGGTTTGTTTCTGTGCGTGTCAGCTTCCACGACTTCCTAATGATGCAGCTATTTTCGAAATAATGGAAAATAGTTTCAAATTGGGGAAAATAGTTTATTACATTTGAAAATGTTGATACTTTAAACATAAGCAATGCATTATTATTATTATTATTATTATTATTATTATTATTATTATTATTGATATTACATTTATGTGGATTAGTTACAGATTAACCTTAATATAGAACTTTTAATGACACCGGGTAGAAAATATATATTTAAACAGAGCAAAGAGATGAAATTGTATTACCACAATTTCTCTCTAAAATCTGTTCCTTAGACCTTCCTTAAACACTATCGTCACAATAGTAGTATAATTTGCATAACTGATTTTTTTTATTTTGGTTATTATTGTTTACAGTTTAAAATCTGAATTCAAAGGTCAATTAAAAGAATGAAATCTTTATTTCAACCATTTATAAACAAGCTGTTCATACAAGAAAAAAGAAAGCACATTAATTATTTGAAACATGGAAGTGTTGAGTAAGAACAACACAGCATATTAGTATTCAAAACAGCGCCCTCACATCCAGCTCACAATCACGAAAACAAATCTCAAAAAATATGCATTTCCTCCGGTTTCCCTTCTTCCCCTTGGACGCAAAGCCGTCGCCTTTGCGCGGGACGTTCTCGCGCGCATCCAATCATCCGGTTGACGGCGTCCGCGTGATTTTCATTACCGAATAACGTCCCGGGGGAAGGCGGCGGCGGCGGCGGAGGCGGCGGAGGCGGGCAGAGCCCCTGGCTCCGGCGACGTATGAACAGGCGGCGCGTCAAACGACGCCCTTTTTTTCTTCTCGAGAGGAACAATAGAAGAAAGAGGAGCGCGCGGCGACGGGCGCTAGGTGGCGGCAGCGCCTCTGGTGGCGATGTCGGGAAAGAAGGCGCTGAAGACGGCGGAGGCGGCGAGTGCAGCCCTAAGGAGGTAGTCGGGAGGGCCTTGGGGAGCGAAGCGTGGAGTCGGGGCAGGGCAGAAGAGGCGGGTGGTGATGGGGCCGGTGGTAAAGAGGCGGATGATGAAAGAGGTTGAGGGGGAGGGGCCGATTGGGGAGGATCAGATGGGAAAGAGGCAGTTGGTGAAACGCGGTGGCGAAGGGGTAGGTGATGAAGAGGGTGGTAAAGGAACAGGTAAGGGCGCTTGGTGATGTGAAAGGCAAAGGGGCAGGTGAGGAATGAGTGTGCGGTGGGAGATAAGCAAAGCGGGGTGGAAGCGCAAAGGGAATGTGGAGGGAAGACAAAGGAAGCTGTGGGCAGAGAGATGGAGAAGGGAAATGTGGAAAGAGAGGGGAAGCAGGGATCGTGAGAAATTGGGAAAAGAGAGAAAATGGAAGGGGAGAGAACAGAAGTCGTGAGTGGAAGATGGAGAGAGAGAGAGAGAGAGAGAGAGAGAGAGGAAGAGAGGAAGCGGAGAGGAAAACCACACGGTTTTTGGAGAAATTTCCCTTTTTCCAAAGAGTCACTGTGAAGTTTTAGCTTCACTGATCAAATAGATTTTCAGATATAGCGGTTTGCTGGAACCTATGCAATGACGTCGAATGTTTGGAACCTTAATACTTATTTCTCTCTTATATTCGAACAATTTGTTTTCAAAAATTTTAATGGTTAATACCATACACCATCGAAGTCACGTAAATGGAGAGGAGATCGATAGCATAGGAGAGGAGATGGAGGACATTTTGGGAAAAGCAAAATTCAAACCAACGAATGTCCATTTGGTAAAACGTGAGTTGTACTACAGTTAAATTATAGAATTTGGTTTTGAATTTTATTTCTAGTAAAACCACAAGATGTCTTACGATGATTTCAGAGAAGTAGCTTTTTCATTGAGATCTAGACAACATTGCAAGATTGAAAACGATTTTTCTCTTTTCTTGAAAGAGCATGAAATGGACATGCCCCTTTTGATCGTTTACTTTTATAACGAGAGAGCGGGCGGACGTGTGGCGGAGAGGTTCGTCGAGGCGCGCCCGTCGCGCCCCGGGTGGCGGTCGCGGGGACTAAATTAAAAGCTGAATCAATGCCCGCGGCGCGATGGACGGCGGCGGCGAAGGCGGCGGCGGCGGCAGCGGGCCCTTTGAAAGAAAAGGAGCGCGGGCGGCGGGCGGCGGTGCGAAGGCGCTCCGGGCGACAGCGCCCGCGACGCCCTGAATTCCACAGGCGCCTGCCCCCCCCCCCTCCCCTCCGCCTCGCTGGAGGCCCCTTTTGGGTTGGGCCAGCCTGCGCTGCGCCTCTCGCTTCCGGGCCGAGGGCGCGCCGCCGGACGGAGGCGGATATGAAACCCCAGGAGAGAAATGTCACGAAAACCGCGTTAGAAAACCCGATAAGTAAAATAATAAGTGCACTTGCATTTGGTAAATTCAATTTTAAGTAGCGTACCCGTGCGAGAACTCGCGCATGTTAAACCCCAGGCGAATTGTCTATAAGAGTATAGTAAAACTGAAATACGGGATCATGTGCTCCGTTGCCATCGTATTTCCTACTCCTGCACTTGTAGACCACGGCAAAATATTAAATTATTTGTTGCACTACAAGTACAAGAAAAATCATCAGTATCAAGTAACTGTATTTAGTACTTAAAGTTGTGGATGTGAGAGCGAATCTTGAATTAATAATTATAAAAATCAATCTCGTCAGTCTGCGCAAATCACAGTGAACACAGAAAGCGTAAAAACAAGTTAGGGGGAATCTAAGCCTTGTAATCCTGACGTCACAAAGATGGCCACCAAGCAATTCAGCTCCAAGGGTTTAAAATGGATGTCATGGAGAAATATATTTTGTATTCCGACATGTATAGGTGGTATTGGTAGTATCTATACCACCGGTCGGCAAAACTAATAGAATATCTCATTATAGGTAGGTTATAATGTGAGAAACGTGTCAGTACTCCATTACAGTTGGCTCATCTACGTGCTTTTCATGGAGAAACCTTTTATGCTGTTCATTTTGATGCAATGCTCCTGAGCGTCATGTTGCTAGGCGCTGCCGTGCGACGCGGCGCGAGGCCGAGAATGGGCAGGAGAAGCCGGCGGTGCGGGATGAGGAGTCGAGAGAGGACGGAAAGGGAATACGAAAGAGGGAAAGTGAGAGAGATAGAGGGGGGGATAAGAGTGATAGAAGAAGAGATAAGAATACCAAGAGAGAGAGAGAGAGAGAGAGAGAGATGAGAAGAGAGAGAGAGAGACATGGAAAAAGAGAAGGGGGGAAACGAGAGGACAGGAAAACAGAGAGGGAACAAAGAGAGGGAGGAAACAGAGAGGTGAAAATAGAGGAGGAAGAGAGAAGTGGGAAAAAGAAAGTATTTAATTAATAATATTTACGTGACAGTCAATTTTCACGTAAACGACACGTCCCGTAAATTCAGTGTATGTTTTTGCTCAAGAATTGACGATGATTTTGTTCCGCTAGATGTTAAGATCCCGCGCCGACCTACCTTCGGCCAGAGGTATTTTCAGGTATCTCCCACCACATCGACCAGATCGGCGAGCAGACAAGCTCTAAGCTCCCGACCGGTCTCCTGGCATGTTGGGTACTGAAGTGTATATGTGTGTGTGTGTGTGTGTGTGTGTGTAAGTAACTGGTTGGATAGGACAAGGAATGGGAAGGCGCATGGTCCGTGGCACGTTTAAAGTACTGCTCTGGTATTTGCCTGGTATTGATTGGAGGAAACACAAAAATACCAATCTGAGCAAAATATTGACAGAACTCCCCCTTCCTACCTAGTTAATATCGCAAATCCTGCCACCGTCGGAAGTGAAACCCTAAGATCTCCTACCCAGAAGAATTGCAGTGACTTTAGTTGATGCCCTAAGGCGCTTCTCCCAGAAAAACTGCTCAATGATTGAGGACTTGACACTGCAATGTTCATACACATAAATAAAAAATTGCAGAGGCATCGAGGGGATGGCGTACCGGGCTTCTGACTATAAGTTCACCTAAATCTATTACATTTATTAACCTAATTTTTTTTAAAACTAACGTCTACACTCTGCCTGAGAGACGCATTCCTCTCGGAGAGTATTTTGTAACTCACCGTATATCCAAGTAGAGAAATAAATCGTATGTGGGATTTTAATTAAGTAGAAAAACTTAAGAAGTAGTTACGAGTAGTACACACAGAAAAACTGTAGCATATGGCAACATCCCTAATTTAATTTTATTAATTTCATTATTATATTATATTTACAATATCTATTCTTATTATGAAAGCCAAAACCGTCCAACGTACGTAAAAATATCACATCATTTTTTTTTCACCTTTGGTTCATAAATTGGATGGCAATGGTAGAGACTTCGGCAATATAACGCACTCCGCGCCGCCTTTGTTCCAGCCTCCCGGCGCGGGCGCTGCGTGCGTCCCACCCAATTCCCAGCTCATCTCGCGCGCGCCCAGCTCAACTGGCGCAGCCGCCGCCGCCGCCGCCGCCCAATAACCTCCAGCCTTCGACGTTTTCCTTTCGGAGATGTGGGCAAACCGCTGGCGAGGCTCGCGTCCGACCGCTTCTCCATTAGGCCGCGCTGCCAGCGGAGGCAGTTGGGGTGGGGCCGACGCCGCCACAGTGTGCAGCGGCAGGGCGGGGGGGCGGGAGGACGGGGGCGGCGGGGCGCGGGGAGGTGGGGTAGCGGGAAGGCGGTGGGCGGGGTGGTTTGGTGAGGGGGAGGTGGAGAGGGAGGCGAGGCAGATGCTGCCGAACCCAGGAATTGTGATCTCGAGCTGTATGCGTGGCCGGTCGATCGCGGCCGAGCTCCGACGGGTCCCGCCCCGCCCCCATCCCGTCTCCCCCTCCCGCCGCCGCCCACTGCGCTCCGACTCGCGCGCTGTCTCAAGAAGGACTCTCTCGAGTGCTATGGCCTTCAAGCTTCCTCTCGAGACGTTCAGGTGGACGTTCTGCTGTGGTTGGAATTTCGCACAGGGAGTAAAGCTGACACTCTGAACACAAAACAGCCGAGTCAGCTGATATTTTCTCTTATGAATAATTATATTTATTGTAAGGAGGGCAAGGGTGAATTTACATGCGGGGAATGCGATATTGAACGTGGAGTAGAGTTGATGTGTTTATTTGCTATTTTTTTCTATTTTCCGAGATGCTATTGCTATAATTCTTTTTAATTGTTGGATATGTAGAAACTCGTTGAATAACATCATTGGTGCACCCGTTCCTGTTCGTTGTGCACTATATCTTCCCTTCCGTCCCGTCTCGCTTCACGTCCCAAAACGGCTCCTCTCGAGAACTTAACTAGGTCCACAGGATCCCACACAAATAAGCCAAGTAGAGGTTTTCGGATATATTTTAAAAACGTTCATGCACACAATATTAACCTTTTCAATTTTTTAAACATCTATAAATTCATCGAGTTGATTTCATTCGAAAGAGAATCATGGTATATAATTTTCTAGAAGGTACAGAATCATGGTATAGAATTTTCTTGTAGAAAGGGAGGAAATCACTACCGTTAAGATTGATTTAACCAATATGACGGAATTTTTTTTAATTTGGCACTTGAGTTTTGAGGAGATGTTTTGATTCCCTTGATTCAAATGGATTCATTATACTTATATCATATTCTCATACGTTTGTAAACATAACAAGCCGTCAGAAAGCGAAGCAGGGCTATCATTGGTTTTTTACCTTCCATTAAAGCTGGCAATGTTTTGGAGGATTTTTTGTTTGTTTTCAGTACATTTTTAATCACATAAAATCGTTTTCGTTTTCGTTTGTTCTCAAATCAGAGTGTATTATTCTGAACTGAAAGAGATTGCTATAAAACGATTTTGAAGCTTTGAACATGTTTTCTTAAGTGGTGAAATATATTGCATATTATCAGTAAGTAAACATGATAGGATAGAAAAATGAGATTTTGTATGTTGAGCTTTCCGAGATATTGTAAACATGATTACTATTAAATCGAATATTTCATAAATAAATATCCGAGTGTAACAACCGTAAAACGACTATTGCAATGCTTTTCGTTGAATCACAATTGTTTAGAGTAGTGGGACATTGCGATTACGCTTGTTCAAAACAAAGTTTAAAAGTATGTACATCTTTTTTTTAAATGAAAGAATTGTATGTCTTCTAACAGTCACCTTTTACAAATGAAACATCACATTGCTTTTAAAATTTTTCTTATCACTTCCAAGTTATCGCAAATTAATTGGAAAATGTTTGAGGGTATTGTAAGTTATTCTCATATAAGAAGAAGAAGTTTTACAAAATTTAGAAGTAATTATTAACATTATGAATGAACGTGATTACTTAGAATCAGTCACATATGTAAGGAGAAAATTCTATATAAAATATTCTGAGGATTCAAACTGATATTTAAATGAATTTTGCTTTACACACGTCTGTTTTCTTTCTTTTTACGTGTTCTCGCATAAGTATTGTAGGGGAAAGTAATGCAATTTCTCTAAAAGTAGATCTGAAAAATTACTGAAATAACCATTTTTGGCCTCTGTGACGCCCGAAAAATCATTTACCAAAAACTTACTAGTACTAAAACCTAAATCGTTTGCGGAATTTGTACCAAACGAGTGCACTTCTATAAATGTTGGTTTTAGTAAAATATCTCAGTTTCCCAAATCGCGAAAGTATAAAATTTGGCATAAATCGTAAAAAAAATCCCCAAACATAATTTTTAGGTGGGGGTTCCTTATACGTCTGTGCTCGACAACGCAAAGTCTGCTCGATATTACGCATTGAACCAATTTCCATTAAAACCTCTGCCATTTCAAAAATTACAAAATTGTGTTTCTGACGCGTCGCGACTATTGATATTCCTAACCACATCAATATTCAAATGGAGAAGATTCTTTTTCGTGAAATATGTACGTAGAAGTCTAAATACCATCCCAAAATTAAATTATCTGTGAGTTAAAAATACCTCTAGATGCCTTTTGTTCATGGAGGCGTTTCCAACTGAGTGTAAGCTGAGTGTGCTTGTGGCAATGACAACATCTTTAATTATTTTAAAAATGCCAAAGATATCCTACCACAACACCTATATGAGTGTAAGCTGTCGATAGCTGCGATAACAATGCAATCGAGATCAATTAGGCGATTTTTTAAACGATTTATAATGTTTATTTTTAGTATCATCAACTAAATCCACATTACACAAAGACATCTAAATTTTTGTGTAGAAAGTAGTTTTATAATATTACTTTACCATTGCAAATAATACCAAAAAGAATGAGCTTTTGCTGCACGACTAGTTCATCCCGTTCGTGTAAACAGTAAAAGTTATATAAACGATTTGACCATGTTTACATTATATCTCCATTATTCAAACTAACGAAAAAGGTAATGCAAAACGTCTCTCTCTCTCTCTCTCTCTCTCTCTATATATATATATATATATATATATATATATATATATATATATATATATATATATATATATATATAGTTGAATCTTGATCATGAACTTTGCAAAAGAACACACGTTTCGCAAGAAAATGTCGCAAATATGTAATATTCTCTGAACTCGAAAAAGTGTCAATTAAGATTTTTCTAAAGTAATTTAAACTGAAGGTATAAATAGACTGAAGAGCCCTACTTAACTTATCTTCCAGTAAAGCGAATTAATTCCTAAAGTAGCACATTTCCAGGAGAGACGTGCATCTTTAATAACTCGGAAAGCATTTTGCAGTACCGCGAAAGGCGGAGGCTCACCTCCGCCATCTTGAGTTTGGAGAGACCGGAGAAGATATCCGGCATCTAAAAGAGAAAGTGAACGGAAGACGAAACCCGTATGCTCCTTCTTCGGGGAAGGAAAGGAGACGTCAGCTTGAACGAAAAATGTGGAAGACGTAAGTTCGCATACTTAAAGTTCATTGACTTAAAATGAAATTCGTGCGGATTTTTGCGTGAACGAGTCATAAAAATCTCAAATTATGCTAATTAAAATTGGTGTGGAAATTATTAATTAAGGTTCTTTCACATTACACATTGGAACATCTATCGAATGTATTTATGAGTACGTGAGCTTTAAATTATTTCAGATAAAGTTTCCCGAATACTAAATAGTTTTCCATGAATACGAGCTCAAAATTCGGCATTTTCAGAAACGCTCAAACACCATTTTCTCAAAAACGCTTCAAATTTTTGCTTCATACCTTTCCAACAGATAGTACTAATTTCACTGTTCATGATGACATAGAATTAATATTTTTGTATTCATTGTTTGTTTTTTAAATTACTCAACTGTGACATCTTTTAATGATCTCACATGCCTTAAATATGCATATTTCCAGCAATTTGTAAACACTATTGCATTTGTGACTAGAAGTGCTTTAAATGAAGACATATGAAGTTTTTTTTAAATAAATTGTTTTCTGTGAAAAGAGGTTCAAGTTTGGCATTTACAGTAGCACTTAAATGTCATACAAGTTCTTCTATGAAAATTGCCATTTAGGACGAAGTTTTATTGTTCTTTAATACTTTTAAAGTAATAATTCTATTTTATTATTAGGAAACTGAAAAATTAAGAAGAGTTTAAAAAAAATTACTTTGCGGTGATAAATGGTTACTCGCAAGAGTATGTGGCAAATCCGAATAGCTAGCCATCGAGACCAACGGAAAGAGAAAACTAATACGGAAACATCTGTAGCATCACTTGTTACTTTCTTGTATACTACTCGTATACGTAGTATAAGAGATAGTTATGTATTCCACGATAAATAGATTTTAACAAACTCCCTGATATCACAAGTGTTTCAAAAAGTCAGTCAATAATTCTGTGCGGTCTGTGAATAACATTTAATTAGCATTTAAGCCTACACAATTCGTAGTATTTTTTTCCAAAATGAATATTCCCCGATCAATATGACCTTAGTCGAAGCCTACGGTTTTGAAAAAATATTCTTGAAATACTTTCATTTTGTCGTACAAAGTTCATGAGCCGTTTTCAACATTTTTCAAAAAATTGATCACATTTTTCTTTATATTTTATAAGAATAGAGTGAGATAAACTTATTAAAGTGCTATAAGTCCTATTGTCACTGTTAACCCTCAGTTTTCGAAAAAGTATTAATTAACAAATCTCCATTTTTTTCTCTACACTTGCTGTAAAACTCGTGTTATATGCACATTATAACTTGACTTAATCGTAATTTTGAAGTTTTTTTCTGATTTTACAAAAAATACTCAAATGTATTTTTGGATACATCCAATGGCGTTAATATTTACATTTCTAGCAACTCTAATACATTATTGATTTTGTGTGTATAAGTGTTTCAAATGAGTTCTCATGAAGTTTCTCGAAGATTTTAAAAGTTCTTCGTGAAAATGAACTCATGTTTTTTATATACACTCAAACAGAATTTACTCAAAATTGGCTGAAAAAGTGTTTAAATTAAAATTTGCCCACAGAACCAAGATTTCTCTTCTATAATATTTTTAAAGTCATATTTCAGTCCTCCACTTCAAAGAGAAAAATATGAGAAAACGTACAAAAAATATGTGCTGTTTAACAAAACAATTTACGCAATGTATTGCATGAAACTAAACGAAATCATATTTAACAGAACATTGATATTTACAGTGTAAAAACGTTGCGAATATTGTTTCTCATTTTTAGAGTTAGATTTTGAAAAAATGTTCATTATTTACTGCGATTGGACTTCATTTGCATTGCTGTTATAGAGACGAATGGAGTAAAATGCCAAAAACACACACATTCAATGCTTCAAAGAACAACTGCTGCACCCGCACGTTACCTCGATTCAGAATATTACAATGCTCAATAGATTAATGTAGTCATATGAATTTACATTTCTTTATGACGTTTGTACACATTAATATATAATTTTGATGGAATACTTATTTCATAAATAACGTTTTATGAATAAATGAATATGAACTGAAATAGTATTTTATTGCTACTTCATCCCCGGAGACAAACAAATAGAGTTGTTGCTTCCTTTTACGATCATCTTAGTGTGTATAGCTGTGTAACTAAGAAAAATTCAGGCTGGCGGAGCTCGCTAGTTGCGGTACGTCTTTTCTCCACATGCTGTTCTTACCCCAAGCACGGGAATATAACTACGCCCAAAGAAAGGGGAACCGTTAGATGGCCATCCACACCCAACTATCGACTCTCAGTGCCAAATACGTACAAACATTATTACTTCAGAGGTCATTTTTATTTCTAGGTACAAAGAACCAGAAAACATAGATTTATCGTGTGATGAGAGGTCTACTCCTGGTACTTATGGTATATTATGATATTAGCGGAATATGGCTAGTGAAGGAGCACATTTTCCAGTGAGTAAACCGAGGATAAATAGTATTGATATGCAGCATAAATTTATAGCTTCAAAAATACGTCAAATGTGATTCATGTACAAAATTTATCGAAGTAGAATTGTCTATTAAATCGGCATAATAAGATTTAGTTACGCAATTATTTTTTAATACAATTTCAAGACATTTTCTAACGAATCTTCGCAAACTTGTCAGTTTATTTTCATATAGTTTAGAAATGTTTCATTTAATACAACAACCCACTATTAATTCTATAGGCTTGTTACCTACGGAAATATTTTTATTTGATATAAAAAAGTGATGCGGTTGAACGCTTAATCCAAATATACCATCGCAATGTGAAATATGATTATTATCATATACTTTCCACACTTTTTAAAAACTTCATGCGCGATAATAAAGAATAATAAGAAAATGCGATAAAAATAGAACACTCGCATCAAATTTTATATTTGAAAACTGAATAGATTTGAGAGAATTCATAAAATGTTTCACCACACAAAAACAACACTAAAGTTTCCGCATCTCACTTATTCAAAAACTGTTTCAAATACTGCATTACTGACGTACACTATTTATAAATTATCGGAAGATACACTTATTTAATTGTCATAGAAAGTTAAAATTTGCAATTCGTCTATGCATTGAGAAAGAAAATCAAATGTTACCAATAATATTGCACTTACACGGCATTCTCTATTTAACGAATATCAGACTTTGAAATTTGTTTCATCCTCCGATATTTCTAGTGCCATACCCACGTCCCCCTAAGATTACTGCCCGTATCCATAACAACCGCGGCCCTCTACCTCACCCAGCCGGCAGTCACCCGCGCATCAGCGCTGTCCGTCACCCGCCGTCCGTATCTCCCACGTCACACTCACTCCGCTTCCTCCCACCCGCGCTCCGCCCACCGACCGCTTTATTTATCCACGTTCTTTATCTCCGCCCCGCCGCTCTCCCCGAGGTCCGTTTTATTTGTTCCCCTCCCCCCCTCCGACCCGTGGGCCAGCCATTTTATATTTAATGTATTTCAAAAAGTTTTTTATAGTTAGACATCAAAATGTAAAATCCGATGTAAGGAAAAAAAATACATATTCTTCAAATGCGTTCATTAACTTTTAACAACTTAACCAAAATGTTAAGGATGCGAACGTTAACTTATTCAGCTAATGTAGTAATCAATAATGATAAAGATAAATAGGTAATAAATTGATTAAAAAGTATTTAATTTCTAAGATACGTAGAAAATTATTATATTTCGAACAATAATCCTTACATGGTTGGTCAATTCTTTTCTTATTTCTTGAAGTATTCTCATCATTTCTGTACTGCCAGAAAGATATCTTTTATGATAGAGAACAATAAATTAATGCGGGCATAGATCAAGTTACAGACAAGAGGCAATTTTACGGCATCAATTTTTTTAATGCCCAGTATGGAATTGCAGATTAACTCAAATATTTGCATTTTCTGTAAAAAGAAACTGGTCTTCCTTGTTTTTTCTGTTCTAGATATCGAAGCAAAGCAAAAACTTTTATCAATGACCGCAGGCTGATAGTTGTCTTTCAATTTGTGGACATTGAAAATTATTAATTTAGTTTTAACCATTTACCAGTAGCTTAAGAATTGAAAAATTCCATTTTTCCCACAACCCCCCTAAAAAATCCTGAGCTTGTCTTGTCAGAATCGTCTTGCAAAGAAATAGCAATTAATGCAAAAGTAAGATATCTCCGCTTTGAAATAAAAGCATAAATTTCTACTTCCTTACGAAGAAGATACAACTACTACTACCTGATAAGAAGGTCACGTGCAGAATACAGAAACAATGCAGAATAACCAAGAATACTACCTCCTCGGCAGAATAAACTGATATTTCTAAGCGAGGGGTCAAGCCAGACGAAACCCTGCTAACCGTCGCACTCGTTGATAGCTAGAGCCGTTAAGAGAAGCCCCCATTCAGATATACAATCTCGCACCAAGAGAAGCGGCGGCGTTGTTCCTTCCGAATCCAGCCATCGCAAGCGCTCTCCGGAGGCTTCGTGGCCCGACCCGTCGCACCCGTTTGGCGGGTTATGTGGTCACGCGTTTCACAGGCGGACGGATGCGCCGCTCTGTACAAGTCCGGCCTGACGCACCTCCACCACATCCGCCCCTCCACTTCCTCCACATCCCCGCCGCCTCCCCAACGCTATCCGCACCACCGCCACAGCCACTCCACCTCACCACCACCTCCGACCACCACCACCACACCAACCACCACCACCACAACCACCACAACCACGCACAACCACCACATACACCCACAACCACCGACAACCACCACCACAACCAACCACTACCACCACCACAAACCACCACTACCACCACCACCGACCTAACTACCACCACCACCGACCACTACCACCACCCACCAACCACTACCACCACACCACCACTACCACACCACCACCACTACCACCCACTACCACCACAACCACCACAACCAGCAGCACCAGCCACCACACCACTACCAAGCCACTCCTCCATTTGTGCCTCTCGCATTCTCCTCCATCTCCACCAGGTCCGCCACCACAGTTCCAACCACTAACACTCCCCATTCTGCCATCTTACCTCGACCACCACCCTGCAGCATCGCCACCTCCACCCATGGCCGCCGCCACCTTGCTCCAAACCAACGCTACTACCCTATGCTTCCACTCCGCCCGCAACACCGCTATCAGCACCACCCACCGCCTCCCATTCCCTCCGATAAAAATAAGGGGACCGCTCGGCCGATTGCGGCGCCCACAAAGGCGGGAGCGGAGGCCAGGGCGTCGCCGCCAGCAGTTCCGCCGCCGGAGCAGGGCCAAAAAAAGAACGCCGAGAAGGGAACCGGCAGAAAAGGCCGCAGAAGAGTAGGGAGCCGCGGCCCACGGATTGGCGGCCGCCGCCGCCGCCGCCCCGCCGTCGCCCGAGATGGATTGTGCAAGTTGTGGAAACGACATTCTTCGGGCCGCCCGCACGCGGGGGGGGGGGGGCGACCGGCGGGATTTACCCGTCCGAAGTCGGGACGGGTCGAGGAGGCGGACGAGGCAGCTGCCGCCGCCCCCGCCGAGAGGTAACCGATAGAACCTGCCGAGAAACGCTGGGACACTTAAGTTGATAGGGCACAACACGGCACACATGGGTTAAGGAACGGCGCGGAGCGG